GCTGTGTTCTGAATACAGTGGGAGTTTCCCGTCCCCCCCGGATGCTTCCTACACTCTTTAGTTCTCCTTGGTGGTGGCTACTTCCACTTTGCTCCTATCTGATTCCATTAGTTCAGGCTGCAATCACCAGAACTGGGGGCACAGCTCCAAGAACCCCTCCAAAATAGCCCATTTCCGAACTTACAAACAGCAATGACAGGGTTCACGGAGTGCAGTTGGGAAAGGGGTAGGGTCAAGGAGCTAACTTTCTCAAAAGAAACACCTGAAGCTGGGTCCCTCCAGAGATCAGGGTCCTGGCCTGAGATGGCCAGTGAGGCCGGGCACCTCCTGGGGCCTGAGCTGCTCAGCTGCCTGCAGGGGGCCTCATGAGCTTTGGACCTTGAGCAAATGATGAGGGAAGCAGGAGGGAGTTCGGATGCACTCATCCCAGCAAGAGCAGGGTGTCCTCAGAGGAAGCAGTAGCTGTGGCAGAATGGCGGCCTTTGTGCCTCAGTAAACACAAAGTGCTGGGACCCAACCAGCTGACATGGGTCTGATTCATGTCCATGCAGCCCCAGGCCATCTACGATGCACCATTATGCTCAGCAATTCATACCTTGCCTCGGGTCACCCTACCAGTGAATCCCAGAGTTGGGCTCTGCCCCGGACCTGAACCCTTGGCTTGATTACTGTCACCTTCAAAACTGTGTTCTTTCAAAAGCTGTGTATAATGAGCACTAAGCAAATCAAAAGGCATTTTACAACCAGCAGTAGAGGTGATGTTAAAATGCATCCTTTTGCCCAGTGAATCACAGTCACTTGGACTTCTTGTCTTTGACTTTGCTACTTCCTGAAAAAAGTCTGCCCGCCCACCTCCTCTCTCCCTCAGCATCACTGAAAGCAGATGCTGGGGAAAGAATTACACTTCCAGCGGACTTCCAAAGTTAGCTTCCATTTTTAATTGTCCAGAAGGAATGTCCTCTCAGAGAATTAATTTGGGGGGTTAATGCCACAACTAAATAATAATATCCAGAGAGTTCTGGCTGGTTTGGCTCAGCGGTCAGAGCATTGCCCACCGACCAGAGAGTCTCAGGCGGGCACCCCAGTTGCAGTTTGGCCAGGTTGGGGTCGTGCAGGTGGCAACTAGTTGATGTGTCTCTCACACATCGATGTTTCTCTCTCTTTCTTCCTCCCTCTCTCCCTCCAACTCTGTCTGAAGATAAAATTAATAATAATACCCAGAGAAATGCCCCGAGAGCCCCTGTAAAACAAAGCCCAGAAGTTCTCTGTGTCTGCTAAGGGGATGGAGTAATACACTTTGTGAGTGCCATTTAAACCCAAGTCTGGATGCTTACAACACAGGAGACCCCAAGATGCTGGACATTAGGGTCCAAGCCATAGTCCCCTTGTGCCAATCCACCCTCAAGTCCTCCCTCCACCTGCTCCCTCTCCCCAGCAAGTCCACCCGGCGGAGCCTGTGACTGCGGCCAATGAAGACCTACAGTCAACTTTTACTTCATTCACAAATGGAAATCCAAGGAAGCTGAGCGTCTCCACCCTGTCACGTCCTTTCTAACGCAAGGACTGGGTGAGATCCTTCAGAGCAAGGTTTTTGTCACCTCTGACATCTGCCTCCCCAGGAATCCAGGGACCTGGTTCACCTGCAGTCAGTACAGAAACTGCCTTAACCCTTAGGAAATCCCAGCCATTGGCAGTAAAAACGAAACTACAGCTTGGCCAGCATTGGGTTTTCCCTCCGGCAGCCAAGGCCCAGCCCGGGCACCTCGCCCCCCAGCCCTCGCACTGCTGACCTGGTCAGCCACCCACGGTCTCTGGTTCTGACCAGAGCGACCTCCGAGTGCCCTCTACTGCTCTTCAGATTCAGGGTCTTCCCTGTGCTGTGGGGCGGGGAGCTGGAGGCTGCAGATCCCAGAGTGGGCTCTGCGCACTGCAGCATCACCTGAGCTCCTGAAAAATGCAGACTTTCCGAGCCAGAGGGTCCAGACCACCAAGCTCCCCCGGGGAGACGGAAGTTCCAGTCCTCTAACTGCTATAGCCTCCCTGAGAACCTGAGCAGAAACTACTTAGGGCCAGATCTGGGTGGGGGCGGGGGCGGGGGCAGGAAGCTCGCAACTGCAGAGAAGGCTGAGGGGCGCGGGGCGCGGGGCGCGGGGCTCAGGGGAAGCGCCGCGAATTCCAGCCCGGGCCACACTCACTGCCGGTAGGGGTCGTGGAAGGGCAGAGCAAGCCAGGAGCCGGGCAGCAGACGCATGAAGTCCTGCATCTCCTGTGCACTGCTGTCGGTGGACACCAAGACCACAGCCAAGGGCGCGGGCCGGCGCGCCTGCTCCACCAGATCCACGTAGAAGTCGCAGAGCAGCGGTGTAAAGTCGCGGCTGGACGCGCAGCGGATCGCCGCGAAGTACAGCGCCACCACCTTGTTCTGCAGCGCAGCCTCGGCCTCCACCCACGCGCCGCCGGGGGTCACCAGGTGCCGCCCGCCCAGCACATCCACCATGGCCTGAACCGGAACAACTACGGAGGACACTTGTGGGAGAAAAGGAGCGAGGAGGGCGGCGGTGAGCGCAGGTAAGTGGTCACTTGCAGACGGATGGTCACCTTCGCAGATAAATGGTCACTTGCAGGCGCAGGGTCACCTGAAGGCCCGTCCAGGTGTCAGGCCTCTTTTCCCAGGGCCCAGCGCCAGGGCCCACGCAAGACCCTCCCTGGGCTCAACACCGGCCTTGGCCTGGCGCTGGGGCAGGAGCTTCGCACTGGGCACAGAGGGCAGAGAAAATTCACGGACACCAGCGACTCCAGGTGCAACAGCAGCGATTACTACGCAGCATCTGGAGAGAGCCACCCCCCCCCCACACACACACACACACACCAGCCCTTGAGCTATCCCCCTGCGCCCCGCCCCTCTCCACCACCCGCCCCGCACGTCACTCAGTCTCCGCGCTGCTCTGGGCTCTGCGCCCGCCCACCGCCCCGTCCCCCACTCCTCGCTCCCACCCCTGCACCCAGGGGCCTCAGCTGCCCCCGGGGGTTCTGCCGACCTGGGAGCAAGGAGGTTCCATCAGGAGGGTCAAGGGCAGGCCGGTCGGGAGACTCGTCCAATTCCATCCCGGGATTGCCCAGACCTCCTGTGCCCTGCCTGGGAGTCCTGCAAGTAATCTGGGGAGGTTTTCAAAGGACGTTTCACTCCGAGAATCAGAATATTGAACTGTCTGGCACCATTGGAGGCCCTGGGAGCAGAGTCTCAGTCCCCGCCAGGGTGGAAGGGACCTCTGCACGGGCGCAGAGTTTCCGGGGCATTAAACTCAGTGATCAAGAAAAATAATATTCTAATGCAGTCGTTTTTTAAGCCTCAGCCGAGGATATGTTTTTATTCATTGTCAGAGAGAAACATCGATGTATCATTGCTTGCCTCCCTCGTCGTCCATGCGGGGATTGGACCCGAAACCTTTTGGTATACGGGAAGGTGCTCCAACCAACAGAGCCAACCGCCAGGGTACCAATGAAGTATTTAAAAAATTCAAAATTAATGGCAAAATGTTCGTGATGAACAAACATCAAACATGGAAATAGGACAGGATTCCACCCTGCCCTCAGACTCGGATGGGGGCACCTCACCCAGAGTCTCCAAGCACGCCCTGCCTCCCAGAACTTACATATTCCAGTGGGGACCAAACAAATAAAAATAAAACAGCGACTAAAACAAAACAATAGACAAGATGAATGAAGAAAATTCACTGTGCTTGCTCTGGAGAGGGAAGGGGCTGGGCTGGGCAAGAGGTGAAGGCAGGTGTCCTCAGAGCCCAGGTTGTCCCCGCGCTTTCCCGCGGCAGGACACTGACACTGTGCACTACCTGCCGCTGGTTGTGTAAGTGCACTGGGCAGGGCCAGGCCACGTGCAAATTCCGCTGCAGGGCTGATGACGGTCCATGAAGAGTGCCAGCAGAGCCTCATTCACTGCCGGCTTAGAAGAGGAGGAATTTACAGTCAAACCTCAGATCTTGAACGTCTCCCATCTCAAACAAGTTGGTTGTCAACCACGTTGTTCATGGAAAATGTCTCAGCTGTCAAACCAACCTTCCATCCTCCACCCAACAACCCTTTCACGCTGATACCAGTATGATCGGTCACACGTCTCTCAGGTGACAAAGGAGAGGATGTGTGAGTATGTGTCAGTTTACCCCTAAACCTCGAGTTAACATCTCAGGAAACTGTGCTGTGAATATTTTCATGGCTTGTTGCTTTTGTTGCTGCTTATTATTATATTTTTCATTATTGATTTCTCTTTTTTTATTCTCATCTGAGGACATTTTTGCATGTATCTTCAGATAGAGCGGGAGGGGGAAGGGAGGAAAAGAGAGAGAGAAACATAGATGTGAGAGAGACACATTGACCAGTTGCCACCCATACAACTCCAACTGGGGCGGGGACAAACTGCAAGGGAGGTATGTGCCCTTAGCGGGAACCGAACCCTGGTCTGTCTGGTCCGTAGGCTGACACTCTAACCGCTGAGCCAAACTAGCCAGGGCTCTTTAATGATTTTAGAGAGAGAGAAAGGCAGAGGGAGAAAGAGCTAGAAACATTGATAAGAGAGAACATCGACTGGCCGCCCCCTGCATGCCCCCCACTGAGGATCGGGCCTACAACCTGGGCATGTGCCCTGACTGGGAATCGAAACAGCGACCTCTTGGTGCCTGGGTCAACGCTCAACCACTGAGCCACACCGGCCGGGCTGCTGCTTATTATTATTAAATACATGCAGTAAGTCATCATGGGTCCTTGGAAGGTTAGTGACAGCAGCATAGTGAAAAGGAAAGCTGTGGGAACAACCATAGAGCTTACAAAACAAAAAAGAAAGAATTGCAAAGTATGACAGAGGCGTCCGTGTGTCTGATCTGACCACCGAGTATGGTGAGACCGAGGATTAGCACAATTTTAAAACATAAGGAGACCCTCAGGAGTGCTGATGAGCTCAGGGTGTGAATGTGTTCATGAGCCAATGATCACAGGCGATTGAAGAGGTCAAGAAAATTGTTGTTGAATTGGAAAAATAAAAAGCAGCAGCCCGGCCGGTGTGGCTCAGTGGTTGAGCGTCAACCCATGCACCAAAAGGTCCCTGGTTCGATTTCCAGTCAAGGCACATGCCCAGGTTGTGGGCCTGATCCCCAGTCGGAGGCATGCTGGGGACAGCCAGTGGATGTTCTCTCTCATTGATGTTTCTATCTCTCTCTCCCTCTCCCTTCCTTTCTTTGAAATCAGTAAAGAAAAAAATTTTTTTTTTAAAAAAGAAAAGCAGCTAGCCAGCGATAGCATTCAGGAGGCAATATGTGAAAAAACAAAGATGCTGTGTGCTGACCTCCTGAAAGACACCCCGGCAAGCGTGCTGAAAGTAATCCGTTTAAGGGGTGGTGGGGTACATTTAAGAAAAGAAGTGGTGTCCAGCTGGTGTGGCTCAGTAGTTAAGTGTGGACCCATTCACCAGGATGGTCACCGGTTCAATTCCCAGTCAGGGCACATGCCCAGGATGTGGGCCAGATCCCCAGTGGGGGGCATGCAAGAGGCGGCCAGTCGATGTTCTCTCGCATCAATGTCTCTGACTCTCTCTCCCTCTCCCTTCCTCTCTCTCAAAGTCAATAAAGAAAAAAAAAAAGAAGTGGCATCATAGTGGAGTAAGGCTGCCCTTTCTAACTATGCAGCTGCTGATAATTTATGACAGAATTTCAAGATTATGTAAAGGGTTCTCTACCCAACAAGGATTCAATTAAGATAGGACTCTTTTGGAAGAAAATGCCAAAGAGGACCTCCATCGCACAGAAGTCATTGATGGGAAACCAGCCATTGAAAGATGGGCTGACGTCACTGTGTGAAATGTGTGTGGGGACTTCATAGTGAAGTCCACCGGTCTGAAAACCTGTGAGTGTTCAAGAAAAATAATGTCATGAAAAACAAGTTGAATATGATATGAAGGGCTAATAGCAAAGCTTGAGTCACCAGGCAAGTCTTTATCGAGTGGATTCATGAAGTGTTTGCCCCAAGTGTGAAGAGATACCTCTGGGAAAACAGTTGCCACTCAGGGCACTTGTAATGGGCAAGGCTCCTGCCCCCCTCCAGGCTCAGAGCCTGAGTTGGAGGAGGGGCACAGCTTCATCCCTGTCAGGGTCTACCCCCCCTGACACCCTACTCTCCCCCAGCCCACGGGCCAGCAGGTCATTTCTCATTTAAGAAACTCTACACAAAGGCACTGTTTCTGAGGTGTTTGTTTTTCTCCTTACCCAAGGATATGTTTTTATTGAGTTTTAGAGAGAGAGGACAGGAGAGAGAGAAACATCAATGTGAGAAACGCTAATTGCCTCCCATACATGCCTTGGTTGGGGATCAAACCCGAAATGGGGTATGTGCCCTGATCGGGAATCGAACCCATGACCTTTTGGTGTACAGGATGATCCTCCAACCAACTCCTACAACTCAACAACAAAATAATCAAAGAATATGATAAAAATGGGCAAAGAACTTGAATAGACACTTCTGCTAAAATCCCATACCAATAATCAAATGGATGTCCCAAAGCACTAATAATCAGAGAAATGCAAATTAAGATCAACAGAAAATAACGAGCATGGGTGAGAATATAGACAAACAGGAGCCCTGGTGCAGTTGGTGGGACCGTGACATGTTACCAACACTGTGGAAAACAGTACCTGTATGTATGGAGCTCAGAAAACTAAACAAAAAAGTACCATATGATCCAGTAATTCCATTTCTGGGTATACACCCTCAAAATTTGCAAGCAGGGTCCTGAAGGGATATTTGTATACCCATGTTCATAGCAGCACTGATCACAGCAGCCAAAAGGTTGAAGCAACGCCAAGTGTGCACGCACGGGTAAACAAGGATGCTCCACACATGCAATGGAGCGGCATTCAGCCTTAAAGTGAAAGAACAGCCTGACATGCTGCAACATGAATGAACCTTGAGGACATTATCCTAAGAAAAAGAAGCCAGTCACAAAGACAAATGTCATATAATACTTATGAAATATATAAAATAATCAAATTCATAGACACAGAAAATAGAATGGTGCATTAAGGAGAGAGAGAAAAGGGAGTTGACTAAAGAGGATAAAATTTGATTCACAAGATGGGAAAGTTCTGAAGATCTGTGTCAACAACGTGAATGTATGTAACTACTGAACTGGGCCTTAAAATGGCCAAAGTAGTAACTTTTATGTTGTGTGTTTCTTACCCAATGAAGTCTGTTGGTTTTGCCCTGGCTGAGTGTTCAACAGGTTGGGCGCCATCCCAAACACCAAAAGACTGAAGGTTCAATTCCTGAGCAGGGCACACACCCGGGTTGTGGGTTTGATCCCTGGTCAGGGCACACATGGGAGGCAACTGATCAATGTTTCTCACATAGATGTTTCTCTCTTCCATCCTCTTTCTCTAAAATCAATAAAAATATGTCCTCAGGTGAGGATTAAAAAAAAACAGTCTATTGGTCTTT